AGTTGGTGCTGTAAATAAGGGAGTTGGATGCATAACCAAAAAGAGCAGTGGTTCCCAACGCTGGTTCTAGAGGATCCCCCGCCCTGCAAAATTTTGTGTTGTCCTGCCAAAACGCACCTACTTCATCACCTACTTGGATCAGTTGTGTTGGGAGCCGGACAAGCACTAAAATGTGCAGGGCAGGGTGTCCTCCAGGGTTGGGAACCACTGGAATAGAGAAACAATTATGCATGCAGCTAAATTTTAGTCTGAGGAGCTGATGTCATTTCTTGTATTTATTGAAAGTTTAAAATCTGCACTTTCAACAAAACCATCTGCTTTTAGTGAGCTATGAGAAATAACGAGGAGATGATTTTATGGTGTGTAACCCACGAGAGACCTAGGAGGGTTAAAATACACCAGCTTATAACACAAACAATGTATTAACATTGCGCACACAGTCACACAAACAAAAATCCACATGCACACAATTAAGAGCATGATGTCAACACACTGTAATAACCATGCAGATATAAAAAACACACAGACACTCACCTATACACACTTACAGGTACACGTACAGACACACTAATGTACCATGATCTCATTATGCTGTTATGTGGTGACAAGATTGAAGATTGGCCCTGAATGGCATCCAGATTTGTGCTATGTTAATATAGACCTATGGAAGAGATCAGCCTTGTTTATCCAGATCAGATCACTCTGTACTGGCTGCATCATCTCATTCCATGGCTGCTATATGCAAAAGCATTAGCTCATGTACTGTGTAAATGTGTACTTGTGTATAGGAAAGGGTGAAGTATAAAGCATAAGCGTTATGTTTAATGTAAGTGGGATATATATGGTAGAATACTGTATAGACTCTAGGGCTGCTTGATATGGACATGGATGACTGTATGAGGTGTAGTAAATGATTAATTAATGAATAATTAATTATTCATTTCAATGTATAAGAAGGGAAGATTTTTGGGATGAATGCTTCCAAAAGCAGCATTCGAGAGACGAGAATCCCGCCATGACTAAATTTCTCAAGATAAAAGCTAAGTGATGAAGAGTGTATATCACTTTCCTGACAAATTAAATTGTCACAGTTTGGTGTTAACTTCTTGGACGATGTGTGTACTTTTCATACACAGATTGCTCTTGATCTCTGTGTAATAGCTACATTGTTTTGCCTGCAAGTGAGTAACTTAAACACTGAAAGCTTGTGACAGGCCACCATATACTATAATTATGACTCTTTAAACCAGATTTGGAATATAACCGACTCCTGCTGTTTTTTTGTTTTTTTTTCCACTCGACTACTACTAACCAAGGTCCAATTTGAGATCTGGACCTGAGATAAAAAAGAAGAGTAAAACTTTTATAAAACTTTATTTAACACAGTATTTAATTAGAATCTGTATTTCTTATATGAGTGTCATGACCTCTGGTTTAAGGATGGGCATTTCAGTCAATTTTGATAATTAAATAGTAGTAAGATGTTATTAGAAAAATATTGAAATAAGCCCCCTGTGAAAAACAAAATAGTCTTAAGGCTAAAGGCCACAACACACTGAATGCTACAAAATGCATTTTAAAAAAGCACAACTCAGCGTCGTATTATTACTGTAATTATATTAAACCCAGGCCCAGACCACAAATCCTTAGTAGATTACTTGTAGCTTGACATTTACTCTATGAAAGAAGTCAATCTAAAGTCTTTGAGAGTAACAGACAAATGCTATCACTATAAGCCTAGTCACATGGTATTTCACCTTGTATCAAGAAAACAACAGTTTGTGAAAAGTTAGTTAGCTGATACCAAACTTGATAAAATCACAAAATGAAATTGAAAGTTTTATTCCATTAAATCTATAGGAGTTTAGTGTAAAGTACTTCTCTGTTGTGCTTCGTATGTGCTGCTACCCAGACTTTGGCGGTGCAATCTGAGGCATCCCGTCCAGTCTGTGGTAGCCTTCAGCCCTCTGCAGTAGTCTTTCTTTGCTTCCTTCTTTGGGTTAAACAGATAAGAAACTCTGATCAAAGGGGCACATACTCTACACTACCCTCTGGTGGAGAATAGGGTTCAGACATCTTGTAGAATGAATAATTTTAGAGAAAAGCTAATTTGCATATCAAAAATCAAAAAAACTTTCATGACTAATCAAATATTTGAAACTTCTGACTCATCCGTACTCTGATTGTACAACGTCAGTGTGGAAATGCATGATTTGATTTATGTTTATGCAGTATAGTGTAATGATACAGAATATATAATAAAGTTTTAAAGTTTAAAAGTAAGTTTTTAAAAATGATTGAATGATTGAAGAATGATGATTGTATTTCAAAGTTATGACAAATCAAATTTTTATTCCACTTTTGAACTGCCAAACATTCACATTCTACGCATTTATATTTTAGAGGGGCTCAGTGATTGGTGGTGTGGGCGCTCACTGAAAAGTGGTGCAGAAAGAAAGAGGCAAATCAGATATAAATCAGAGCCAGCAACAGTTTAGATTTCGTCTGTCTGTCACTCCAGCACCAGTCATGCGACTTTTGCTCTCTTAGACATTAGTTTTTATCATCTAAATTTGTTTCAGCAGAGCATGTTAGCCAAAATCATGAATCAAACCTATACTGTGGTGTGCGCCACTATATTGGTCTATATATCTCCCTAAGCTGACGCTAAGTTTCTGATCAAGCTGCAAATCCAGACATGACAGAACAGGTTTAATTTCCTTTTCTGTCCCTTCAAGTGCAGTTGCTTGACCGCACTCCCTCAGATTTGAATAATTGCCATCTAAACTTTTTTCTGTGCTTTAGTTAGCCACAATCGAACATGTTTTGTGGTGAGCACAGCTGTTAGTATGCTAGCTAAGCTAAAGCTATCCCGCTTCTCTGTACTAGTTAGCAGCACTGTTTAACATTTAACAAAGGTTAGATTGATGGTTTGACATTGATTGAGCCCATGTATTTAGTGACCATGTAAGCAAACCAAACTTACTGTTTAATGTTTAATTATTGTAAGTGTTTAATTATTAGTAGGTGATTCATTTTGAAACGTGTCTCTCCTTCCTAAATACAGGCAGGATGATTTCAGCTCGGTAGTGTGAATTGTCTTGGTCATATGAATTCCAGGAAGTTGACATTAGATGAAAATCCTGCTTAACATACTTTGGGCAGAGCTCTGCTAAGATGAAGTGAGAGGAAACCCTGAATTTAAAAGCATCCTCTGTCTGTAAAAGTGCTCTGTCTGTTCCTCTTCTTGTGTGTGTTTTATGAAAAGGCCCACATGCGGTGCAGTAAGAGAGGTTAAAGAATTAGGCTGGGAAGACATGAGCGATTTCCTGCTGAACACCGGACAGATTCTTTAGAAATTACAGCGTGCCAACTGACAGTGGATTACAGGTGTCACCGGCATGACAGAATGCCAGTAAAGAGACAGAGAGAGCGAGAAAGAAACTGTTCAGTGTCATAATGGGCTGTGGCCAGATGAGCAATATGAGCTCTCCCATGAATAGGCATAGGTCTTTGCTATCTTGTAATGGAGAGGTAATGGACTTTACCTCTCTTTTGCTCTCTCTCAGACATGATGGTCAGCCACCATGGTAACTTTACACCTCATGTAGCAGAAATAAACACCGCATTCTTTTCTGAAGCCCGTAGCATGTGCTAAAAGCAGCTAATTGACGCTCATGGAAGCACTTGTCATTTTACCAGATTTACTAGATCTGCGTAGATATTTGGGCAGTGGTGTTGTGCAGCCTGTACTGTATATCAATCTTATTTGTTGTTTCAGATGCTATTATACAAGCAGGCAAGCTTGCCGATTTCCACTGAGGTGTCTTTTAAATTATTTTGGGAAATAAAATATGTGCTCTGAGATGCGCATATGTGGTGTTTGAGTATAGAATGTGTGTGTGCCTTTCCTCTCGAGGCTCATTAAAGGCTTCTGATAACGAGTTCGCCAACACCTCAGGAGTTCATTTGGATTTACTCACTGCGTTAGACAGAAACCTGGAATCTCAATCAGGCCTCAGTAACTCATGTAGCATGTGAAAGTGTGTGTGTGTGTGCGTGTGTGTGAGACAGAGTCGTAAGTGTGATACAGAGTGAGAATGTGAGAGTGATAGACTGTGACCATGCGTTTCACTTTTTTTTATTGTAGGCCTGTATTAACCTTATGTGGGTGACAATGACTGAGCATGAGCCATGATTATTTACAATTTTAGTCTGCATCTATGGCTTTAAATTCTAAATCCTTTATTGACAGGATATCATCACGTTTTTGATTTTCTGTGTTCTGTCTTTTCTGTTCAGCAACTCGTGAGAATTACTAATCACTTAATTACATTACTAACAGTGTAGTGTAAATTGGTTTTGTTGATTCTTTGACCAACATTTTGTTTGTAGTAGTTAAAGGTGGACTGTTCTATGCAGTATTATTAACTGTTTCCACTAAAGACACACTGAAATTTTGGCCACTGAAAAATGTTCAGCCAAAAAGGTCAAAAATGGCACATGGTATTTGGGAAAGGAAGAGGAAAATAGAGCTCTTAAAATTGCTCTTGAGTAAGGCCCTAGGAAAAAGTCTATGTCAGATTCATGACGTGTTCTTAAATCACAGAATTGTTTGCACCTCTATGCTCTTAAGTCTGCATAGATTCTGTTCTTACCTAAGAACAAATCCCAAATAAGAAAACACTGGTTAATGTTAGAATCATTGTGAAAGCTATGTAAGTAGGTTTTAAGAAGAAATTTCTTTTTAAGAACAGATGGTGAATGAGGCCCAGTGTTCTTAGGATGGCAATATGAGATATATGTATTTAAAATTAATAGAACAGCACAAACAAGTGGTTTTCTTTTCATTCCAAGTGCTCTTCTTTTGACACAACCTTTGTTATGTTGTAACACACAAACACATTTTAGAATCATCTTGCACTTAGGTTGCACTTCATTGTTACTGTGAACTGCACCTTTTCCATTAACGGCCGAGCAATGCTGCTTGTCTCCCTCAGGTTGATGCCTTAAGGCTGCGTCTGGAGGAGAAGGAGTCCTTCCTGAATAAGAAGAGCAAGCAGTTGCAGGACGTAACAGATGAGAAAGGAACGCTGAGTGGAGAGATACGGGACCTCAAGGACATGTTGGAGGTCAAGGAGCGTAAGATCAACGTCCTGCAGAAGAAGGTCAGTGCCAGAACAGCTATATAGCCATGAGCACCAATAAGTGTTACTGACAAATCATATTCATGGTTCAAATCGTAGTGCTGGAGGCAGTAATGATGGTGAAAATGGGGTTAGTGGTGATGGAAAGGAGATGGTGAATGATTGTGTCAGTGATTGTCGCTGATGGCGGTTACGTTGTTGGTGATACTGGTTATAATAGCGGTGGTGACAACATGATGGGGGGAATAATAATGTCTACAGGTCTACAGTGACGATGCACCGACAATGCAAGTTTATTATTACATCCATTATGTGGTCTTGCCATGCTACACAGGCCAGCACGATTTAACTATAACGTAATGTCTTCATCAACAAAACACCTCATTGAACTATAAAAGACGCCTGACAGAGACATATTCTGTGATTACGCAAACCTTTTCGTTCCATAATTACCCCAGCGAGTTGGTTTTTCTGTTGGATTTGGCTGGCCCCTGGCTCTTTTTGCTGCCCTGTTCTTGTCTGTTGTGGGCTTTTATTTGGTCTGGACCCTCCTAAGCCTCGATTGCTTTTGGCACACGCTCCTTTGTTCTGAGGCTGACCCAGGTTGCCATGCACTTGGTCCTATTTCTGTTTGCTTTGGGTTATGTCCATTCATTAACTGTCCTGGGTTTTGGCCTGGACTATCTGTAACCTCGCTTGCCCTGTCCTCTGGTCAGGGCTGTGCTAGACTTGGACCAGGTTACTGTAGGCTCAGTTTGGCCATAAATTGGACTAGATTTGGATGGGGCTTTGCCCTGATACAGTCTGTAGGGTTGAAGACTTGAGGACATGTCTATTCCAATTAGCTTAGTTGTGGCGAATGTGATGCACATGCTTTTAATTGTGCAGTCTGTTGGATTATGTTACATGGCACTGGGGATATGCTTTGACACAGATGCACACACAGTCAGACGTCAGCCAGTGGACCACTAATGTGCCCGAGGGATGTCCGCTCACCCTTAAATGGCTTAACCTGTGTCTCTATGATTTAATTACAATTTTTGATTAAAAGGTTCAGAGAAAGAGCAAAGCCTAACAAGATTTAATGAGCACAGACATTAGCCTCATGTGTCATCCAGCAGTCTGTCTGTGTTTGTCTGTGTGTGTGTGTGTGTGTTTGTGTGTGTCTGTGTTGAGCTTCTTTGGGCTCTCTCTTCTTGACCCAAATGACTTTTATAAGGTTAACTCCCCTTACTGAGTTAGAACCACCTGCTGGGAGTCATCCGACTGCTCCCCTGGGCCACACACATACACCCACACGTTAATTTCTCCCTCTGTTGTCTTTCACTCCCCCTAATCCCAGTCTATTTCTTTTTTTCCCTCCATTTATCTCCCTTTGGCTTCTGTCTCTTTCCTCTCTAGCCAGTTAACTGAATTGAAAGTCTTCATGCCGCAAACTCCCATCAAGATTCATCTCTAATTCCTTTTGAACGCTGTTGTTAGATCAGTACAGTATTTCACTGGCTTTAATTAATACTATACTAACTCCTTAATTGCATTACCATTTAAATGCTGTTCTCAGGGCGGAGAGTCCAGCTGTGTCCAAGTTGTCTGTCTTTAAAGCGGCAGGTCCCAGGTCAGCAATCTCTCAGAGCATAGTCCATTATGGTGACCTTTAAAGCTCTTTCATGTATGCTCTCGGTACAGTCGTTTAATTATCTGAGTAGCCCCTAGAGCATCACCTCAACTCATAGCAGGGTGCTAACAAGCTCCATTGACTGTAGATTATTTATGAAGTATGAATTGGATGGACACACTGTTTGGTTACGCTATCGTATATCTAATGTTCTTAGTTCAGCTTGCTTTTTATGTGAGGTGTGGGGCTTTTTTAAAGGGAAATTTGGATGTTTTGACTGGACACAGTAAAACATTTGAGGGCATAGACCTCATAAAACAAGCATCAGTGTTTATACATACATTTTGCACACACACACACATTTTTCCCTTTTTTTCCACTTGTATTTCTCCTTCCTTACTTCTAGCACTAAAGCTTCTGTTTAGAACCAGCATAAGTCAGCTTGACCAGTCATCTTGCACACATTTGTACATCCAGCTTAAACACTGTGGCGATATTGTCTAGCAAATTTTATCTTAGCTCTTCCAGTAAATTTTTGCTGTAGTCAGTTCTCACGGTGCAGAACCTCATTCAGGCCTTGCGAAGACTCAGATTAACTCTTATGTATGAGAAGCCTGACCTCTACATCAATATTTCACAGGTGTTCCACTCAATCTGTCAGCAGGCTAGTATTGTATCCAAAGGATTCAATTGGTTTTCCAAACTTTTAGTGTCCCATCGGTCCTTAAGCAATAACTTACAGCAGTCTGAAGTTCCTGAAGGGCAGCCTCTAGAGGATAGGTTTTCCTCTACACCTCTGTAGCTCCGTACATAGACCTGCTCTCTGAGGAGAGAGAAACAAGCAAAAAAAAGAGGTATATGATGGACTGGTCAGGGCTTGGAGTTGTGTCTAAGTGTTGATAAACCTAGCAACGCACTGAATGAATTTGACAGAAATTTACCTGATGCATCTACATGTAGTTGTTTATTTTCCAGTCCAGTATTTCTCTCTGTTCTGCTCAGTGCCAGTCGCGACATTATATTAGTTCTTCTACCTTTACCTTTACAAAATAGGGTGTTTCTGACTTAAAAGAAAACAATTGTGGTACTTCAGAGAAGGGTATTCTGTCTCAAAAAGTATACTTTTTATTTTAATGAAAAGACAATTATTTAGTATAAAAGGTTGAAAAATGACATATATTTGCTTTAATGTTTGAAATACCTATTATGTTGGTCAAAAATGGACCGTTATACCAAATTAGTTCAAATTGTGGTCCCACAGTAAAGAATCTATTAAAAAAAAAAAAGCGTTTTTTTTTTTATTTCCACTTTTTTCTTTTTTTAATATTTTATACTAATAGTAAAACCTTATGCTTTGTTCATGTTGCTCTTGTGTCATTGTTTTACTGTCTGGTTTTGACCAGGAGAGGATTTTTTTGAGTCTTGGTTCCTCTTAAGGTTTCTTTCTCTTCTTCCTGTTAGGGTTTTTTCCTTGCCACTGTAGTCATTGGCTTGCTCATTGGGTCTTGGACCTGGATTTTTCTGTAAAGCTGCTTTGTGACAGCACTATATAAATAAACTTTGACTTGACTTCAGACCTTAGATATTTTCAAGGTTTGTGCTATAATCTATTTAACCCCAAGACATTAACTAAGATAATTGAGATGAGTTTAATTGTTCAATAATAAGCTTAGAATAGAACATATTAGAGGGTAAGCAGTCAGTTCTTGTAGTCAGTGTATTGGATGGAGGAGAAATGGGCAGGCATGAAGACATGAGCGACTTTGATAAGGGCCAAATCTTTATGGGGCAGAGACAGAGTGTCTCTGAAACAGGCTGTAGGGTGTCAGCAATGGTGAGTACTTACCAGCAGTGGTCCGACAGTGGACAAACCATGAACCAGCGACTGGGTGTTGGACACCTGAGGCTTACTGATGCATGAGGGCAGCAAAGGCTATTCACTCTGGTTCAAAACATCACAAGGGCTTTTATATTTTTAATGATAGTTTGTTTCGGAAGTGGTTTGGGGAACATTACAAATGTTTCACTAGTGAAAATCCTTTTGTTTTGCAATTTAATAGAAAGATTTTCATTGCAAATTCTATTATCAACATAACAATTTAAATGATAAGTAGAATCCCAGAATTCTAACATGAATTTTAGAATTTCTTAGTATTTAATATTTCAAATTCTCCTGAGAGTCGTCTGAATATGTGCTTCACTCGAAGAGATGACATTTGTACAAAAGCCTCAACATGGTTAGTGTCACAAATTAAATTTGAGTAGTGACCAAGACATAGTGCAGAATCTTGAATATTTCTTCTTCATTTTAATTGTCATAAATTCTTTGTTTTAACATTTTCAGGATTCTAAAATATTATGTTGTTCATTTCCAAGTTTAATTGAAAAAAAAATCCAAGATTTGAAACGTGGTCTCAGACTTTTGGACCCCACTTTGTATATCATCAGGTGGTCTGTGCAGAGGTGAGAGCAGATGTGTTAACCGCAGTGGCAGTTATCATATGATGCCTGAAGTCTGTTAGTTGGCCCTGCAAATAATAGTGTAAACTTACACCTGGGATGTTAAGAAATGATACAAGTGGCTACCTTATCAAAATGCATCACTGTGGATACTTTTGACATTTTCTCTCTCTTTAGGGGATGAGTGAGAGAAACATGCCACTTTCTAGCAACAAGTTTAAAGTATCAGTTTGCGCATGTTAAAGTGTTATGTCACGTTAAGGCAGTCTTAAGCAAATACAGAGAACAACTGTGTTAGATGAAAGTGCCAGGTGAATTGGTGTTCTTTTGCACATGTGAGTCATTTCAGGATCATGATCTGTTTTGAGTGGTGTCAGATATGGGCTACATTACAGAGATAATGTGAACAGCCAAACAACAAAATCACGTTTGGGCAGTAATTCTGATTTGGGCCACTTTTACTTTGAATGTAGCCATAAACTGGCAGCTGTATGCATACGGAAAGACCAGATAAATGTTTTTACTGACAAAGGCATTTGTTAAAATGAATGGGAAATGATTCTGTGCACTAGATACAACTTTTCATTTAGTATTCAAATTTATATACATGTTGGGTGGTTCAGCATCAATAAAATGAATAGAATTAGTTACACACATCTGTTAGTTCACTCATATTCCATACATTATATCTCCTCTTGAATGAAATGCATGAATAAGTAACCAGTGATGAAGAACATATGAAATATCATCTGACACTGGAGGTCAGAGTATCCCTATGGAAAGAGATGAGTAATGAGAGTGAGTGGATGTAGCTATTGTTTGACCATGTCCTCCTCCATCACACACACACACACACGCACACACAGACAAACACCAACAGAGCACATACCAAAACACTGTCAGCATCGCTGTGGAGTAATAGGAAACAGTCCTTACGGTGCACCCT